GGAAATGGAGAAGAGCTGGTGGGAGGACGCGGAGAAGGGAAAGGAGAGACGAGTGAGGGGAGAGAGGGGAGGGGTACACAGAGAAAGTTGGGGAGACCTCAGGAGGCAGAGGAGGAGCCGGGGTGCTGGGGGTTCGAGCCCACCTCAGGCTGGGGCGACTGGGTGTCTCAGGCCAGTCTGGGGAGACGGATCCCTGGCAGGTGTTGTCTGCAGGGAGGTGCTGTTTTTGACGACAGACTATCTGTAGGTTTCTGAGGGCTTTGTGGGGTCTGGGGAGCAGGGGGTCTTGGAGGACAGCGTGTTTGAGAGTGGGTAAGGGGGGTGTGTCTAGAGGAGGGAGTGGGGAAGTGCTCTCTCCCTCCGGAGGGAGGATCCGCGGTGCAGGGGTGAGGCGCCAGAGTCTGAGGGGAGGGGGCCATGGCTGTCTGGATGGGGGTCTGAGAGGAGCTGCTGTCTCGGGGTGTGGGTATCTGGAGTCGTGGGGTACCTGAGGGGCAGGGCTGTCAGAAGGGGGTGAGGAGAGGATGGAGTGTCTTAGGAGGATGAGGTACCCTGGAACAGGGTGTCTGAGGGATGTGGGGATCAGAGGGGTCCTGTCCGAGAGGAGGCAGGAGGCAGATCAAGGGGAAAGTGGTCCGAGGGCAGCCTGAGGGGAAATGGGCGCCTGAGGGGGGCAGGTCCATGTGGCTGGGGCCTGGGGGTGACAGCAGGAGACAGAGGGAAGGGGTGTCGGGCATGGCACTGGCAGCTGCTCTGTGGGGTGCTGGAGCGCACTGGCTGTGGCCACCCGAGGTGGCAGGGTCTGGGGCCGCCAGCTGAGAGCGCAGGGCTGCGGCAGAGCCCGGGATGAGCCAGCCCAGGGGTCAGCTGGGTGGGCAGGGTGGGGGCCAGCTTGGGAGCAGGACAAATCTGGGGCCACCAGAGAGGGACAGAGGGAGACCCAGAGATGCAGAGACGGACAGAGAGGTCAGGAGAGAGGAGGAACAGAGACAGCGCAGAGATGGTGCAGGTGGACGGGTGGACGGGGTGGACGGGCGGGTGCAGAGCCAGCAAGTGTGAGGAGCGGAGGGAGCCAGGACGCGGGAGCCATCGGTGCTGGCTGTGCCCGGTGCTCCTGGGGTGTGGGCTGGCGGGGGAGGCGGCCTGCCGGGAGGGACCGGCACAGACCGTGGGCAGCCGGAGGAGTGGGCAGCCGGAGGGAGCAACCTGAGCAGCCCTGGCAGCCCTGGGATCCGCGGCAGGGGCCTGAGCTGGGAGGAGGCGGCCTGGGAGGAGCGGGTGGGGGCCTGGGGCACCCTGCTGACCCCTGTCTGTCTCTCCTGCCTGCCCGCCCTGCCCTCTCTCCTCTGTCCCGCATCGTCTGGCCTCCCTGCAGGGCCGGCTCCGCCATGGACTGTAGCTGCGTCTCCGACCTTCTCTTCGCCCCGCCCGCCCTGCCGGCTCTCTGGACCCCTGGTAACTGGCCCGGAAGCCCCTTCCCCAGCCCGCGCAGGCCTGGCCTGCAGCAGCCGCTCCTCTCCGCATCTGTGTGCGTCTCACTGTCCTCCCGCCACCTCTCTGCTCTGTCACAGTCCCCTGCACACAACCCTTTAATAAAAAAACTTGGCTAAAAACTTCCCAGCCACAGGCCCCTGCCCCTGCCTGCTGGGACAGGAGCCTCTGGGGCGGTGGGTGAGGTATGGAGGCTGGAGAGGGACAAGGAGCCGGGGCCTGAGGCCCTGGGGTCTCAGCCTGCTCCCCCCCAGGACCTGGGGCCGGGGAAGCAGGGAGACTGTCCCAGGTGTATGGGGTGGGGGGCAGGTCGGGGACGGAGGGTCCAGGCCGGGCACTGGTGGACAGGCAGGACGGCCCCGCCAGCCGGAGCCGGGGGCGAGAGGACAGCTGGCTCGGAAGTGGACGCCCAGAGCTGGGTCGTGGACAGTGGACAGTAAGGCTGGCTCGGTCGTGCGTTGCGTCCGAGTTCCACCCCGCAGACGGGCAGGGAGTGCGAGTGTCGAGTGTCGGAGCACGTCACTCTGCAGCCTTGGGGAGCAGGGCTTGTGTGCGCGTGCCTGCCTGGCGTCTTTCCGTCTGTCTGTCCGTCCGTCTGTCTGTCCGGGCTGAGTGTCTGCTCCTCTGCACCCCGGAGGCGGCCCGAAGTCCCTGGGCTGAGGGGGTGTGATTCCTGGGGGAGTGGCGCACTCTGCATTAAGGATGGGGGGCTGTCTGCAGCCCCTGCAGCTGTAGCTGCCTGGTGGTGGTGGGGAAGCGCCTTGGCCTGGTCCCCTGGGTCTGTGGCGCAGGGTGAGGCATCTGGCGGGGGCCACCCCCAGCCCTTGTGGTCTCTGTCACCAAGGACAGTGTCACAGCCTGTGTCTGCTGAGGTTGCGGGTCCTCTCCGGGGTGTGGCTGTCTCAGTGGGTCCCCACACGGGAGGATGTGTTTTGGGGGGCGGCGCGGTTCCCCGTTGGGCTTCGCATCTGCCGGTGTGTGACCCGTTGTGTGTTGTCACGTTAGGGGTGTGTGGGTGCGTGTGATGTTTGCTGTCCCCACCGGGACACGTTCTGGGTATGGGGTGGGCTGGGCTCGCATGTTGATGGAGCCTGTCGTTTGAGAGAGGAAGGCTGGAAATGGAGGGCCTTGGTGGGGAGACGCTGCCTGGCCTCCCCCGGCTCTCAGTCTGGGGGGCATCCGCACCCACTTTCATACAGGCAGCTTGGAAGGGATGCGGCTCCTCCTTGCCGCTCACCCTGAAATTCTATTAAGCCAGAGAGGGCGAGGGCCTGCCCTGGGGCCAGTCAGGGCCGAGCTCAGCTCGGGTCCCCAGGCCTCCCCAGCCTTCCCCCGCTGGCAGGCTCTCAGCTCTTGGGGTGGGGAGGGCGGGTGCAGGAGGTGAATTCTGTCTTTCTGCCTGTGTCCGGGGTCTCTGCAGCGCGGGAGGGACAGACCGGCCCCACGGAGCAGGCCTGGGGACCCCTAGAGGGGAGGCGAGACCAGCTGGCCCACCTCTCCCCTCACCACCAGCTGCTGGGTGTGTGTGCACGGGGGTGCCAGCGCCCCCAGAGTTATGGTTGTTGGAGGGTGGACCCTGGGGTGCTGCAGTGCAGTCTGGGAGGCTGTTGTATGGTCACAGTGTCCTCTGTGTGCCTGTCAAGTGCGGTCTCACGGTCTCCAGCGCGCTGTGTGTGTCAGGGCCCTGGGGTCCTGTGTGTCTCGTCACGGGTGTGCAGGGTCTGGGTTCATGGGCCCGAGTGGGCGCGTGATGGTGCCAGGGTGGGCGTCCGGCGTGTGCGCACGGGCACTGTCTGCTGTGCTGGGCGAGGCTTGCTGGTGCAGCTGCGTGCCCCGGCGCTGGTGTCTGCAGACACCCTGCTCTCGGATGTGGGGTGTCAGTGGGTGATTTGGGAAGCTCGAACAGGGGGCAGGGAACAGGGAGGAGGGGGATAGCCAGGATCAGGGCTGCTTCAGATGCAGGAGAGACCAGATGCAGGGAGGGCGAGCGCTGGGGGTTCCTGTCCCTGCAAGCTGCCCCCCCCAGCTCCTCCCATGGTTGAGGATGCAGGAAGCTGGTCCCTGCCACCCTGTACCCCAGGATCAGAGCCTGGCACAGCCGTGCTGGGAAGGGGCTGGGGCTGGAAGTGCCAGTTCCGGGTCCCTAGTTCTCTCCCACTATTGAGTAGACCCCAAAGCGCAGAAGGAGAATGGGAACCAGGTCCCAAAAGCAGCTCCCGGGAGCCTGGGGGTCCAGGAGGACCCAGAGCCCCCCGCCATGGCGTCCTGACCCAGGCCACCCCGCCTCCGTCCCCAGGGTTTGCCTTCCCGGATTGGGCCTACAAGCCCGAGTCGTCGCCCGGCTCCAGGCAGATCCAGCTGTGGCACTTTATCCTGGAGCTGCTGCAGAAGGAGGAGTACCAGGGGGTCATCGCCTGGCAGGGCGACTACGGGGAGTTCGTCATCAAGGACCCCGACGAGGTGGCTCGGCTCTGGGGCATCCGCAAGTGCAAGCCCCACATGAACTATGACAAGCTGAGCCGGGCCCTGCGGTGAGGCGGAACTGGGGCCGGGACCCCATTTGCCCCTTCTCCCCTCGCTGTCCCCAGGGACCCCCCGGGGCAGCACCCTGCACTGGCAGCTTCTGTGAGGGGAGGGAGGCCAGGTAGCCCCGCCAGCCAGGACCCCGGCCCTCCCTCACCACCTCCTTGCCCTGTGACCTTGGTCCAGGGACCTGACCCCGGTTCCCCCAAACTGTTTGCTCTGTGCCATGTGCCTGGCATGGAGCCCGCTGGGGCCTGCCCTCTACCTCCCTGGGCGGGACCCGCTGCCCCCCTCACTCCCCCTCTTCCCACAGCTACTACTACAACAAGCGGATTCTCCACAAGACCAAAGGGAAGAGGTTCACCTACAAGTTCAACTTCAGCAAAGTCGTGCTCGTCAATTACCCGTTGTTGGACGTGGCAGCAGCCACCACCGGTTCCCCCCTCTTGCTGACCCCTGGCCCCTTTGGGGGGGCCCCCGGGCCAGATGCTCCTCCCCTTACCCCCGAGGTGAGTTAGGATGTGAGGGTCCCACAAATGGGGAGCTTGGGGCCTCCCTGCCATGAACCCCTGGAGTGGGGGCAGCCAGCCTGAGCTGTACTCCCCCCGCCAGACCCTGCAGACCCTGTTCTCTGCCCCACGCCTGGGAGAGCCGGGGGCCAGGGCGCCCCTGTTCACCCCAGAGACAGACAAACTGCGACTGGACAG